GGGGAGCAGCCCTGCGGCAGGTGCTGCAGGCGGGTGCGGCGGTAGGGGTAGGTGAGGGTGTGGCTGCCCCCGCAGTGCCGCGACACCGTGGCGAAGCTGTAGTCCGTCATCTCCGACACCCTGTGAGGAGGACAGCGAGGGACGGAGCGGGTGACCTCGGGGGGCTGCCAGCGGGAAGGGGCAGCTGTCCTCAGGGGTCTCTGGGGCCAGAGCAGAGCAAGGGCAGACAGGTGGGTGCGTGAGCAGAGCCACCTCCTGGCCAGCCATCGTGAGGACCACACTCCCTCTCACACTCACTCGCACTCACACTCTCACTCACACTCACATACACACTCACACTCTCTTACACACAGACTCTCACACAGACATACACATACACATACACACTCACACTCTCTCACTCACACATACACTCACACACAGACTCTCTCACACAGACACATATACACACACACACACACACACACACACACTATTTTTTGTTAATCCTCACCCAAGGATATTTTTCCATTGATTTTTAGAGAGAGTGGAAGGGAGGGGGAGAGACACACCAATGTGAGTGAGACACCGACAGGCTGCCTCCCGCACACACCATGACCGGGGAAGGGAATCGAGCCTGCCACCGAGTACCTGCCCTTGACTGGAATGGAACCTGAGACCCTTCAGTCCGTGGGCTGACACTAACCACTGAGCACACCCGCCAGGGCCGCACCCACACACACACACCCTCCCTCCACAGGGCTTTCCCAGCGGCGGGCTGAGGCGTTCCCACGGCAGGGCTCGGTCTGCACCCCGTCCTACCGCTTGCAGCAGGGGGAGCCCAGGCACTGGGCCTGCAGCAGCTCGTGGATCATCTGGCTGCTGGCCTTGACCGAGCCCCCGTAGTGGAACTGCACCTTCTCGATGTCCATCAGCATCTTGGAGTGCATGGTGCGTAGACGCCCCACGCTCCGCTCCATCGACGCCAGCTCAGCCCGCGGGAAGGCAAGGTTGCCCAGCTTGAGGCTGCGGTGTGAGCAGAAGGGAGGGTGAGGCGGCCGCACAGGCCGGAGTCCACGCCCGGCCCCGCGGGACTCAGGTGGGCAGGAGCCCTTTCCGCCGTCCCCCAGGGACCACGCCCAGGCCTGCCAGGGAAGGTTTGCTGAGGCGGGCAGTGCCGGAGAGCCACCGAGAGAAGCCAGCTCCTCCAGCCAGCCTGGGGGGCCCCCTTTCCACTGAGCCCCATCCTCAGGAGGTGGACAGGCTGCAGGGAGGGGCACGAGCTCAGAGGTGCCCTGAGCGGCCTCTCGCCGAGTGATGCCAAGCCACGGCTGAGGCACTGGAGGGTCTGGGAACGGGGGTGAGGAGGGAAGGTGCCGGCAGCCTTGGTGAGGTCCCCCCAGGACTCCGAAGGCAGGTGTGACTGGTCCTGCCTCTTCTGCCTGCTGCATTCTTGCCCTGGGAGAGCTGGTGCCGGTTCAGAGGCGTCCCTGGTGCGGGGGAGCCCGCATGGCTGTCTGTCCTGCCTCCCTGCACAGCCCTGCCCAGGGCTCCCCTGCGTACTTGCGGCTCTGCTGCCGGACCTGCTCCAGCTCAAAGACGGTGTAGGGGCGGATGGAGCGGTGCCCGGGCAGGCTGGGCCCCACGGGCGTGGTGGGGAGGACCCTGGGTGGGGCAGAGGGAAGGGAGGGTCGAGTGTGAGAAATCCCATCTTCCCGTCCCCCAACCCCTCCCCACGGGCCTCCTGCCCCAGGAGCCCTCCTGCTGGGGGTGGGGCAAGGACCAGGTGGGCAGTGGGCCAGGCAGACAGGAGTGGGCCCACGAGGGAGGGGGGCAGGGAGTGGGGCCGACCAGGCGTGGGCACTCACTGTCCAGTCACGGCTGTCTCCAGGGGACGGTCACAGGACAGGCAGTGGAAATGTGCCAGGAGCTGCCTGTGGGATGGGACCCGTGAGGGTGGGAGCGGAGCGTGGAGAGCCCCTCCAGGCAGGCGGGAAGCTCGGCCCACCCACAGGCCCCGGCCCCGGAGGCCCGTCCTGTCCCTGCTCCCCAGACTCACCCCCTCCCAGACATGCACCCACCTGTCCTCACCCACGCGGCCCTGAGGGGCGCTGTGTAAGCTTCGGGCGCCCCCTGGCGGTCAGCCATGGAAACGCTGCGGGTCAGGCGGCCATGGGCCAGGTTCCCTGCCTGGCTTGGGTGCTCTCCCCTCTGGGGACTGGGGACTCCCTCCCATGGCCCGAGAGTCTCAGCCTCACTCCCCTCTTTCTTCACTGTCCTATGGGGTGGCCTCAGCCCTAAAACACCGATACTCCTGCTGGGGGGCGGTCGCTGCGCGGTGGGAGCCGATCATCCAGGGGCCCCTGGGCGCCATCTCCAGCCCCGTGGAGCTCACAGCCA